AAGCCAAAGAAGCATTGGCATTACCCAGTCATTATTTAGTACTAGATCTAGAAAATCAGCAGATAGAATGTCTACATGAACAGATTCTTACAAAAAATATTCAAGTGACATTTTGTGTTTACAAATGCACTATCTTTTTAAGAAAAATCAACTTTTTAGAGGGCGGATTCTGGAGTAATACCCTGTTGCCACTTTGGGAATTGTCGGAAGAGGAAGTAATCTTCAGGCACACTTTTAAGATAAAAAAATTTTTTTTTAAAAAAACAAGTGAAGTGTTAAGGGACAGTAAATAATTCTCAAAGGACAGGCAATTTGTTTCCATAATAAGGAGTGACTAGGAAATGCTCTGGGATGTTTCCATTTTCTTTTGAGGAGGTGGTATGTATTTGAAATAATAAATTGTCAAAGTGATTACTGGGTACTATTAAAATGAAAGGCGCATATGAATAGAAGTAAACATATCTTTATTATGTAGTGATAAAGTAGAACCTCACATAATTACCAGGTGTAAAATTTGGCTTGGATGGATAAATAAAGAATATTGAAGCTCACATGAATTTAGGGAAGGATTTTTGATCTATACAAACAGTTCTCTTTATAGGCTTTTGAACTAAGAGGTTTCAAAACAATATATTATCTCTTACTTGATTTACTCAAATGGTCCTAACAAAGCTTTCAAAATTGTAGTGGGATTTCTTTTTATAAGGGAAGCTTAATATGGCATTATTTTTAGCCAGTGGTTTGGTAAGCTGAAGGTATGAGTGTTTTCATACAATTACTAAAATAATCTAAATCATTTTTGGTAATTCAGAATTCAAAAGCTTTATGAATTTAAGAGCCTGTTATAATAGGACTCTGGATTTTATGATGAGAAAAAACCATGTTGGAATTCAGGCATTTTGTTGGTTACCTTAATCCTCAGTAATTATTAGTAAATGATTATTAACATTTCCTACAAGGAATCTATAGTTGTATGTATTAAGTGTGTATATATGTTCATATGAACATGCAAGATATAGGCAATAGAAATTAAGTAATCCAAAAGAAGATTCCGTTATTCATTATCTTCCTTTTGAAATTTGGATTTATACAATTATAGTGCAGTAACTTTAAATGTAGATAGTGCAAACATTCTTAGCACCTCAACCTAGTATGTTTAATTAAAATTTGTATAAATGTAAATTAGTGTAAGAGGATAAAATAATATCTAATCAAGTTATTTTTCAAAAAAATTACCACACCTTTTTGGTCTAAATCTAAACTTTGTTCATTTTGTACATATTCTGTGTTTAATTCTAATTGCACCTTTGTGATGTGTATTTATATACAGTGTGCAGAAAATGTTTGTGAAATTTGGATTACAATTGTAGTTATGTATGATGGCATTGCTTGAGAATGTTTTGCTTGTAAAAATTTGAAGGTGCAATCAATCAAATGCTACTAGTTTTTCTGATTTTCAAGAAGCTATCTAAAGTATTAAGCATTTTTCTTCCTGTGTAGTACTTACTAAACAACTTTTTGTATTTAGGCATTTGCATCAAATTGCTGAACAAGATTAATATCCACATTAATTCAACAATTTTAAAAGACTATTTGGGGAGGGTTGGGTTTATTATTTTTTAGCTCTATTTACATCCCAAAGTAGAAAGATTAAATTTATATTTACTAGAGCTATTCAAAGAATACACTTTTCTATATTGTAAAAACAGGACAGCAGAGTAAATCATACAAAAAATAAACATTTATACTATTCTGTAAAAAAAGATTCTGCATTTTTTTCTTTAGTAACACTACTTTTAACCATTTAATATGCAAGAAACTTTTAAATAATACCTGATTTTAAGTAAATTTGACATTACTTCTGAAAGCACACAACTAAAAAAGCTGTATCATTCTGCCCAGTTATTAACATAAATTGCTTTGAAATGAGAATATGTCTTCTCTTTTTTCTACTGTTTCTTCTAAAGGCAGAAACTCAGTCTACTCTTTCTTTTAATGTTTGGTATTTTTATGGTGAACACCTTTCTTTAAATTCCTTTTCTCTCAAGAACTAAAAGCAATCTATAGGTCTTATCTCTGGATTATATGGGAAACAGAAACATGTTACAGGTAATAAAGTAAGTGGAGCAGTGACTCTGGGGGAGACTGCTTTAGCTTCCCCATTCTTTGATCTGGACAACGGACGTTTTCTCAGTCTTATGTAAAATGTGAATAAAAACGCCATTAGAAAAGTTTTCTATTTTTATTGTTTTATGACACAAATAGCTAAGAAATGAATCCGTGTTATGTAAATACAGCTTTCAAACCAGAACCTCCAGCCCTACCTGTGGTCATATTGCATCCCTTAAGTATTTTATATAGGAATTCTGTAGCAGCAACCCAAAGGAGAGGGAAGCCAGTCAGCTAGAAAGCCTTTACTATTAAAATAATGACTTAGAACTGTTTTTTTTCCTTGTTTGGACTTCTTTAACGCACATTTTGTCATTATCTATGGACTAAATGTGAGCTTTTTATGGTCCAAATGATTTTATAAATTGTAAGATATAAAGGCTTTAATTAAAAAATTTTTTAGTTTAATGAGAGCATATAAGTCATTTTTAGTTTACTCAAAAGCAGTAAGAAAGTTTAAGTATCTTCAGGGTAACGTTTATTTTATAAGGCCACAGACTTTAACATAACTATAATTCATAATTATATTAGTAAATGAAATCTGACAATAAATAAAAAGAATACATCATGACCAGGTTGGGTTTATCTCAGAAATAAAGGTTCGCCCAACATTAAAAAAAAAAAAAATCAATGTAGTTCAATGTATTGGCATACAAAAGAAAAACCATGTGATCACTGCAAAAACTGCAGAAAATAACCTTTTGAATATACCTACTAGATTGTATGCTTTAAAAGGGCAAATACTGTGGTACGTAAATTATCTCAATTTTTTTTCTAAAAAAAGGTGCGGAAAAATCATTTGACGAAATTCAACACACCACTTATGATTAAAAAAAAAAACAAAAACAACTTCAGCGAACTAGGAATAGAAGGGATCCTCAACCAAAAGAGCCTACAGCTAACCTCATATGAATGGTGAAGAATGAATGTTTCCCCTAAGATTGGGAACACAACACTTCTCCTGAACATTGTATTTAAGGGCACTGTACAATAAGGTCTTTTTATTAAAAAGGCCACAGATGAGAAATGAATAAATATGACAATATCTATTTGTGGATGATGTGATTTCCTATATAGTAAAGTCAAAGGAGCTAGATAAAAAGGTACTAAGACTAATAAGTGAGTTTTACAAAGTATGCAAAAGTGTATTTCTACACAGTAGCAATGAACATTTAGAAACTAAAATTCTAAAATTACCATTTATAGTAGCATAAAACATGAAATGTAACAAAAGTACATACAAGATCTGTATGTGAAATGCAGAAAACACTGATTAGAAAATCAAAGACAACCTTAAGAAAAAATACATATATATACACACATCATGTTCATGGATTGGAACATTCAATATTGAGATGTCATTTCTCCTCAAGTCTATAGATTCAACGTTAACTCCAGTCAAAATCTCAGCAGGGGGTTCTAAAATCAAGCTGATTGTAAAGCTTATATGGAAAGGTGCAACTAGAATAGTCAAACATTTTTGAAAAAAGAACAAAGTTGAGGACTCCTTCCTGACTTCAAGTCTTATATAAGGCTAGTCAAGATAGTGTGGTATTGGTGAAAGACCCACAGGTCAAGGAAACAGAGCCCAGAAATAGATTCATATATATGTGATCAGTTTTTGGCAAGGGTTCATAGGTAATTCACTGGAAAACAATAGTCCTTTTAACAAATGGTGCTAGGATACCCATATGTAAAAAAATATGAACTTACAGTACACACCAAAATTAACCAAAAATGGATCATAACCTAAATGCAAAACCTAAAACTGCAAAATATCAACAAGAAAACATAGGAAAAATCTCTGTGATCTTGCGTTATACAAAGATTTCTTAGACATTAAAGTAAGAAGTATGAGCCCTACAGAAAAAAAATTAGTATATTGGACTTATCAAAATTAATGTCTGCTATTCAAAACACTAAAAAAGTAAAAGCTACATTATCTTTAAAAACTGAATGTTGTACACTTTTAACATATAATACTGTACATCAGTGATACCTCGGTAAAATAAAAGCCACAGACTGGGAGAAAATATTTGCAAAGCACATCTGATAATGCACTTCTCTGGATAGAATATACAACAATAAGAAAACAACCAACCTTCCAAAATACAGGCAAAAGACTTGAACAGACATTTCACCTAAGATTATGTGAACAGCAAATAAGCCTATGAAAAGATGTTCAGCATCATTAGTCATTAGAAAAATGGAAATGAAAGCCACAATAAAATATCACTGTACACTCATTAGAATGGCTAATTAAAAACGAAACCCTGACAATACCAAGTACTCGGAAGGAAGCAGAGGAACTGGAACTTTTCCTACATTCCTGGTTGAAGTACAACATGGTGCATCACTTTGCAAAAAAAACCACTTAGGGCAGTTTGTTATAAAGTAAAACACACGTCGCATGTGACCCACTGTATGGATTCAACATTTATTATTTATCCACTTATCAGCTAGACATTTAGGCTTTTTCACGTTTTAGCTATTATAATGCTGCTATGAAATCTGTGCACATTTCATTTGGATATATGCCCTGTCAGCAGAATTGCTGAGTCATATGGTAATTCTATGTTTAACCTTTTGAAGGACTGCCACGCTGCTTTCCAAAGTATGTGCATTCCCACCAACACTGTATGAGGGTTCCAACTTCTCCACATTCTTGCCAACACTTGTTATGTCTTTTTTTATTATAGCCATCCTGGTGGGTGTGAAGTGTATCTCGTGGTTTTGATTTGCATTTCCCAGACAGCTAATGATGTTGAGCACATATTCATGTATTTATAGGCCATTTGTATATTTCCTTTGAAGAATGTCTGTTCATAATTTTTTAATCCATTTAAAAAACTGGATTATTTTCCTTTGTTATTGAGTTATAGGAGTTCTCTGTATATTCTGGATGCAAGGCCTTTATCAGATACATGATTTGCAAAAATTTTCTACAGGCTGTGTTTCACTTCCACGATGGTAGAAGCACAAGTTTTTAATTTTGATGAAATGCGATTTATTTTGTGTACCTTATGCTCTTGGTGTCATATCTAAGAAACTATTGCCTAATCCAAGTTTCAAAGATTTACTCTCTTTTATTCTGAGTTCTACAGTTTTACCTCTTACATTGAAGTCTTTGTTCCATTTCGAGTTAATACTTTTGCATGTGCACATCTGGCTATTCCAGCACTATTTGCTGAAAGTAGGAAGGATAAATTTCTGAAAGAAATGTTCGTTTTCTCCAGAGGAAATAAAGAACAAGGGTGCTGGGTAGAAGTTGTAAACTAAATCACCCTAATTAAATATGAACAAATAATTTATTTTAAAAATTTCACTGTCATATCATCATATCAAGTAAATCTCACATCAGACTTGGAATACTTTCATTAGGACAAGAGCAATTAACTGTGCTAATGGCAGTGATGAGAAGATTCTTGTCTTCAATGTTTGTCCAATTTATCCAGCACTTAAATAATGCAAAACACTATTTTAACAAATTATAGAATATATAGTACATTAGTCAAATGTAACAGCAAAGAACATAAGACACTACAGATATGAATCCAGGTTTAAGTAAAGATCAAGTATAAAACTTGGATTTATATAAGCAGTAAGTCAAAGGTGGTGATTTATGAACAGGCTTCCTTTGAGATTCATCCTGGTGCATCTAAACTCATTCTGTTGCAAACAAAACTAAAACCACACTATTTAAACTTCTCAGCAATAGCCCTTATATAAAATGTAGAAGAGTACAGCTCTGGTTACACTTCAAAACTTAAGCCTTTGAGGTAGAACAAGCAAAAATATATCAAAATATCCTATTTAAGAAGAATTTCAATTAATAAAAACTTTTAGCTCATCATTAATCTTTTACAACTCTAAGTTTCCATCTTAACTATACTTTATGAACATTCACGCAGTAACAATAAGTACATTTTTACATACACAGGTGAATAATGTGCTATTAATTCTTTTGTCCATTAAAATACTCCAATTTGTGAAAGTTCATATACCTACATGGTTTTCTATTTATCTTTTCAAATCTGGGTGTGAGAGAACGAAGAAAATTGTCCTCGGTATTAGTCTCCATCTTCCGATTATTTAAGCTTCTGCTAAATTTCTGAAAAAATTCATTATGTAATTAAGACAAATTTTCTCATACTCATTGTCTCAACTGATCATTTTTTCCAATTGTATTAATCACATGCTACGAAATGCCATTATTCAACACTGAAAGTATGTTTCATTATTTTAGCCTCCCTGCAAACACAAGTGGACTTCAGAAGTTGAAGTAAAGGCTTCTTCTCATTCTCTGATGAGCACTGGGTTCCTCCAATAGGAGTCAAGAAAGTATCCATTCTATCATTCAAAAGTGGTACCTTGAAGTCCAGGGACAATGGATTGTGAAAATGGTATCACCCATGAAGTCCCCAACATTCCCCAGCTCAGTTGCAGCACAAAACCACCTCATGGCTCACGTGTTTACCTTCTGCCTGATAAAGCGTAATTATTTCCATTTCAGGGTACCCCAGCAAATGGATTTTTGTGGTGTTTGATGTTTAATTTAGTCTAATTTTCAAATCGTATCTTGATTTTCATGTGTAACTAAGGATTATGTTCAAGGTTTGATAGGTATCCTGTTAATATTCTTAAGAGCTGTGAACAAATGCTCTTTTAGGTAATTTTTATAAAAGGACTCAATGTTTTGGTGGCTCCTCGTTGTCATTCTCTCATTTTTAAAGTATGTCCAGTCAAATTACTCAGTCATATAGTAGTAAATTCAAAGACAGCACCTGTTGGCTGGTCTGTTCCTACTGACTTACTGCTTTCTATATTTTGGGTAACTGAAACGCTGCAAGCCTTACCGAAGTCCAAGCAGATGTGGTAATGTGCATAATAGATATTCCAGTAAAACAGAACTGCAAACTTGTCCACTGTGCAGAATGGTCAATTTGTAAAATATGGTAAGTTGAACATTAAAATAAATGTTGACTACTTATTTCTAATAAGAATTTTTAATTTATTTTAGGCCCTTCATTTGAATGGTTACTTAGCAAATGCCTGAATTTACTGCTATTAGCAAAACTTGAACATTTATAATTTGGTAAAGATGACCAGTGTTTCCTTGACAAAGTTTTCATTTCAGTCTTTTCTGAATTGTGTTTTAAAGGGGGCTGAGCTAGATCATTAGCTCTCATCTTTAAGAAACAGATTATTATATCCTTTAGTAACTTTACAAAGTGATTGATGGCACATACTTCTCCATCAAAGAGATGCTCATTTAAATCTACAAAAAGATAAATATGCCCAGAAAGCTCATGTAATATTTTCTGTTGAAGATAAAATTCCCTCTGTTGAGGAGGTAATAATTCATACACTGCCATTCTTGAATGGGTTCTTGTAACTCGCTCACAAATATTTACGACTCGGCATAAACTTTCTGAAGGGAAATGCACACCATTCTCCTTTTTAACACATAACAGTGATCCGATTTTAGAGGTTTTGAGATCCGATGTATAGAGTGCACTGATGCAGTCCTCACATGTTAAAAGAGTTGATAATTTATCTGCAATGTAACTAGCACAACAGGTTAGATTTCGCCTATGATCTGACAGGTCTAGTAATGCCTCACTTAGCAAACAGTCAGACCAGTCGTAGCAAATATCCTCTTTGTGAAAAAGAGTCTTTACAATGCTGACACCGTACTGACGCTGAACTGTCCAAAGGGCCAAGTCTGTCCTTCGAGCAATTGAAATGTCAAGGATGCTTACTTCACTTAGAAAAACTTCATCTTGTAATCTGTATCTGGTCTCCACATTATGGTAAGCTTTCTGGAATGCCATGCAGGTAAGGTTAGAACTGGTTACTGATACCTGTCTCAGCAACTTTAGGAATAATTCCAGATGATCTTGACTGAATTTGTAAGTCAGAAGATATGGAAAAGGCATGATTTTGGGGGAAACATAATTTTGGTAGAGCCATTTTAAACTCTCAGCATTAAGCAAAAATCCCAGGAATCCCAATTTTCGCTTACCTTTAATTATTTGACTATTGCTAGTGTCAGCTAATGTAACAAAAATAGTCTTGGCTTCAATTAACACATGGTTAATTTTATTAAAAGTTTCAGGTAAGAGAGGTCCTCTAAATCCCTTTCCATAATAGTTCCTACTATTAAAAATGTCAAACAAATTGTTAATTAAGCGTAAGAAATGGATGGTCCCAGTACAGTTCTGAAAAGGAGGCAGACCTAGAGACAGCAAACATTCCAGTGCGCCCGCCACGCTCTCACTGAAGAGCTGGGCAGCACAATTCATTTTCAGTATGTGGTTTTTCAAATTTGCAAGTTTTCTTGGGATTCTCTCCAGATTCGATAATTCCTGTTCCTCTAGTGCTACTAACTCCACAAGGTGCTGCCAGTGCGCTGTGCCGTTAAGAAACTGGACACTCTGAAAATTCTGAAATGCATTCCTTATTAATCTAAGCAAGTGGCAAGAATCAAAGAAGTAGGCAATCTGTTGACTAGAAGATGAAGGATGCTGGAAGGTACACTTCATGTTGTCTCCATCAATATGTATCCCCAATGCTTTTGCCATCTGAACACTGTGAGCTGTAGCATCAGACGTGACAGCCAGAACTGTGATCCCGATGTCACTCAGTTTGCCAATCGTCAGGCGAAGCAACTGAGCGTGCAAATATCCAGACGCCCTGTTTATGAAAAAATAGCCAAGAGGTGTTCTCCAAAGACCGGAAATACCCACTGCCATGAGCAAAACAGTTTCTGAGGCAAGTGGCGTTTCGTCAGCGTCAAGTCTGCCAAGACCGAAGTCCATGAACCCTTGCAAGTGGTGACTGCTGGGGTCCCACTGAAGCTGCTGCTTGAGAGAGACACCTTTTATTATCAGTGAGCAATACTGATATCGCTGGTCTCCATCCTCTACTTTCCGTTGAAGAAAAGAAAAAATGCTACTGTTGAAACCAGGACCAGGTTTGCATTTGGACAACCATCTAGAAAATGTAAAAAATGAAAAATATAAAACACAAGTGAAGAAATTCAAAAAGGGAAAATGCAAAACAAAAACCAAAACAAAAAGGGAAAATGCCTTAAATGGTCCTAAAGTGGCCTCCAATTCCTGTAGAAATAAAGCCAAGTATAAGTAGCCAAATTCTACAGATATTCTCAAGCACATTCATATAGTTACCATGAAATAGTCAGATAATAGAGAAACTCAGAAACGTATTTTAAGATGCAAACATACCACAAAATAATTTTAATTTCTTATTCACTCCTTAAAAGAAGTATACAAGTCAGTTGCCCAGTTTGTTCAAAATGATGTATTTATGATTTAGAGCATAATCCAGTCTTACCTGTAAATTCACTGAAATGAGAACACTGTTGAAGGGGAACGAGACTTCAAGAACGTCTAGTACATCTACTCCATTTTACAGATTAGGAAACTGGGACAGAGGGAGAGGTTAAGCCACTTGGCCCATATTATGCTGCTGGTCTTGCATGAATGTGAAAGTCAGCTTTCCTGACATCCTAGTTCAGTGCCTTCCTCACTGCCCCTTACAGTATCAGAATTATGCCCTTTGGGGCAAATAGGTGTCTGCATCAGACTGCTCCTATCCAAAGCACCTACACTTATCTTAGGAGTTCTTTTATAGCAGCTCTGACCTTCCCAGATTGCTAGTTATTCTTTCCTATTACTGTTGGTGTCTGTCACTAACAGACAGAGTTCTTTTCACTTAGTTCTAATTTAGTCTTTCTAATTTGTTGTAAATTGGGAAAGGGAACAGCTAGGTTTAATAATTCTCTCAAATAAGACTAAATGGATTCTGAGGTAGACTGAGGTGTTCATCGTAAGTGAAGTTTGCTTTTGTAACTCAAATGACATTTTTAAGTTAAATTTCTGATTTGGGGGCTGTATTCTAGGTTGCCAAGGTTTCTTCCTGGACAGCCAAACTCTATTTAATTGAAATTTTAACATACTTCCATAATTATTTCAGGACAGGGCTTTTCAAATATTTTGCTGCAATCTAGAAGTTTCATAAACAGAATTTACCCTTACTTGATGCTACACACAAATATGTGTGTGTGTATAAATATGTGTATATAAAATGTAATGCCAACTATGACCCACTAAAACTGATCTCAAGATGCACTAAAGGGTTTGAAAAACACCATTACAGGATCCAAAAGACATACTCTGACTATAAGTAGCTAATAATTTATTTAGGATACAAAAGTATTAATCGTTATTTATACTTAAAAATAGTGCAAAATAATAAGACAATGAGAAAACAGTATAGGGGGCCTCCATCAGTGTGCTGCAGCCCACTACTATGTTGAAAACCCTTTTCAAGTGTGTCACCAAGTTTTAATTTTTACTTCTTTTGCACTAGGATTCTCAAAGACACCAAAGACACCGTGTTACATGTGCAGTATGTAATGAAACTACTTAATGCTTCTAATAAAAGTTCTAGTTTAAATATGTTTTTAAAAAAGCTTGTGTTCTGGTAAGTTTGATTTTTAAATGGAAATCTAAACAGTATCTTAATGTCCTCAACTATTAGAGTAATGTTTTGAACGTTAGGCAGATAGATATGTGGACTAGTTGATTTCTTTTTTTTTTTTTTCAAAGTGTTGGTAACAGAGTAAAATACCTAAACAAAGTTTGTGAGTTAAAGTTGTAGGGAAGCAACTGATTTCTCTCTTAAACCAGCCTTCCCCTCTACCATTCAAAATTAAAGAACTTTCTCCCTGATTATAAAAAATGACACATTCGTTTAAAAAATAAATAAATAAAATACAGAAAAGTGCAAAAAAGAAAGTAAAAATCACTGTTAATATTTCAGGGACTTATCTATAGATCAAGGTCATCAATGACCTCTCCATCTTGCAAAATCCAACGGTCAGTTCTCTTCTTACCACCCCACATCCCAGCAGCACTGACACAGTGGAGCACTGTCTCCTTGAAATGCTTTCTACACTTGGCTTTCAGGCCATCGAAATCTCCTGGTTTTCCTCCTGCCTCACAGGCTGCTCCTGATCAATAAATGTTTATTGAATAAATGAATATTCAATATGATTAAAGAGAACTAATACTTAAGCAGAGATGTGTTAAAAATAGATAACAACTTTTTAAATGAGGGAAATGAGTGGAAATGTAATCAAATACGAATATATTTGACCATCCAGATTTTTTAGGATGAAATCTGCGTACTTCTAATGTATTGGAATAATATGTCATAACTATGTAAAAAATTAATTGGAATAGCTGACTATTAAAACAAAATTTTGTTGATAGACAATTTTTTTTGAAGTCTGGGAAAATATACACCAAACCACTAACAGTGGTTACATTGTGAGATTAGAGGAATGTAAGCATTATAAATATTTTTCACTGTCTGGTATTTATATACCTACATATTGTTGCAATGTTTTATAGCAAGCATGTATTACTATCACATTCAACAAGGTACTTTAGTTTCATACAAAGCGCTCAAAGAAATAAGCAACTCTTTGAGTACTAAAATTACAAACCGAAATAATGACATGGCAAAGGTTACAAAATGCAGAATGAATTGAGAGAAAAAAAGACCAGTGTGAGCTGCAATGGCCAGGGAAGATTTAATCCAGAGTTGATTCAGAACTATAGGAAATGAAGAAAACCATAGGGGGAAAACAAAGATGGGAAGTTATATGGAATGTTTCACATAAACCATAGTGTAAAATCAGTAAGTAATGCTTTAAAATCAGTGCAAAGGAGAGGACCTGACTAAAAAAGGTATAGGAGGAGGAGATGGCAACACAGTATCTATAAAAATGTCTCCTGCTTACTAGAAAGTAGACATTTATAAATAAGTGTAATATCTAGCCTACATGGTAAAAATCACATTATGGAAGAGAGTGAATAAGCCTACACACAAATGTTCATCTCAATGTATGGAATAGCACTTAGAATAAAAAAATAAGAACAATGTAAATGTCTGCTAGTTGAAGAATGCCCAAATGAAGCAGGGTATGAATGCCTGACATTATGCAGCTATTCAAGATCAAAACTATGTAAAAAACTAGTAAATCTAAGCACAGAAAAAAGACTGGAAGAAAATTCCCTGTGTGTCAATAATAACTGTTTATATATAATATAGAGGAACAATTGATTAATTTTCCTTCTTTTTCTCTCATTTCTAAATTTTTATTAGTAGTAGTATTTTAATAGTATGTGTAGAGAGAAATTCTCATTCTTTTTTTTTAGTAGTACAGCATGGTGACTATAGTTAATAATACTGTTATGTATATTTGTTGCTATAAGAGAGTCAATCTTAAAAGTTCTCATGACAAGAAAAAAATTATAACTATGTATGTGATGGCTGTTAACTAGACTTACCCTGGTGATCATTTTGCAATATATACAAATATTGAATACATTAATTATGTTGTGCACCTGAAACTAATAATCATGTTATGTGTCAATTACATCTCAATTGAAAAAAAGATG